TGCCCATAGAGGAGGAGGAGCCGCTGTGGGGTGATGGGGCGTTGCAAGTTGCGTTGCGTTCCAGCTGCAATTGCGTTGCATTGCAGGCTGCAAGGGAGGAAGGTATACAAAGCTAATTTTGTGTGTGTGTGTGTGTGTGTTGTTTTTTTTGGTGGTGGCTGGAAATCACAGCTGGGTGGGTGAATGGGTGGGATGCCAAGAGGGAGGGGCTAGCGAGGGGAGGGAGCGATGAAACGGCCCCTGTCCGCCCCAGTCTTCCCTTCGGTCCGTCTCCTGCTGGCCCCCTCCACCTGCAGTGACTATCTGAAGGAAGGGGTGAGGCAGTAGGGCTGAGTTTTGAGCTTCAGTTTCGTCCTGGGGCTCAGTTTATTTTTTTAATTATTATTATTAATATTTATTTCTTTTTGCTTTCCAACAAAGCTCTGAGTGTTCTTCGGATTGATCCGAAGGGGGAGGGGAGAGAGAGCCCTTGAGCATGTGCAGAGTGCCTCCTGCTTCTTGCACGTGGGGCAGATGCGGAACCACCGGGGTCGAATCGGAGCTGGAGTTTGGCTCCAGTCAGCACTTGGGATGCTTTCCCTTGAAAGGATGATTGCGAACAGAGTGCTATTGAACATGCCTGGAGTGCCTTTAATTGCGTTGAGTTTTTAATTGGGAGAGCCCTCCCCCTGCCTTCTAGTGGCCATTAAAAACAAACTTTTTTTTTTTGGACTGCGGTGGAAGTTCTAAGAGAACTTCAGACACCCCAAAATTCTCCCAGGGTATTAAGCAGAACAATTATTATTTATATCCACATATTTATATATTCATGAATCCAGAGGGATATTCTGGAGGTACCTCTGATTTCATCCACCACTCTGTGCTATACGGTTACCATGTAGCATAGAATTCGCAAGCTTACAAATCGCATTCTGTGGGGAAACCAAAATAAATATTGGATACAATCAATGTAACGACTTCTCTTTATTTATAGATTGGTTGGCTTAAGGCCGTAGCAGAAGGCAAAAGATGGATGTTGAAAATCCCCTCAAGGAAAAAGTCCTCATTACAGGAGGAAGCGGTTACTTTGGTTTCCGGTTAGTGCTTGTTGCATAAAAGATTTGTTTCTGAATTCAAGAAAATAACCAGTTTTCACCTGGGTGGGAGTAGCCCTTGGTTTTGCACAGCCAAGCCCTGAATCAAAGCAGTACTTATATTAATGAACCTTTCCCAGTTTAATCATGTCGCACTTTTGATATTCTGCTTGTTGAATGGGAGTCCCGGTTTGAAGCACAGCACCCATGATCCCCAGCCAATGCAGACCTTTCTCCAAAGGCAAGTCCAACGGGCAGTGGCCAAGGATTGTGGAAGCTGTAATCCATCAAAATTTGGAGGGCCCAGACTTTTTAACCGTAGGTTAATATTTTCAGCCGTAATAATTATCATAAATCTGAGTGACACAGAATGTTTTCCTTTATTTGTTAACATTTGAATTTCCACCTTTTTCTCCAATGAGCCTAAGCATGCATCTTTCTCTTCTTCATCCTCATTCAAATTATCTGATACATCTAAGGTCTGGTTTACCATGGCTACTTCCCCTCCCCCCCCCCGTGCCACCCCATGAACCTCCATGGCCAAGCGGGGAATTGAACCCAGTTCTCTTGAGCCCTAATCCAACGTGCCACCCATTCCACCACTGTGGAGTTGGAACTGTCTCAAGGAGGCGGCTGTCCAAGATTTCTTGATGTCTCCCCTACCTCTGGGACATTTTCTCTTCCAGAACCCACACCTGTCATTTGTGTTAACTGCCCTGCTCCAGTCTAGGTGTGGCTCTTACCAAGAAGAACGTGGATGTCATTCTGTTCGATGTCTCAAAACCCATCCAGGAGATGCCCGAAGGAGTCGTGTTTGTGCAGGGCGACGTCCGGGTCCCCTCTGAGGTGGAAGGTGCTCTCCGGGGTGTCACCTGCGTCTTCCACATTGCTTCGTACGGCATGTCCGGCCGGGAGCAGTTGAACCGGAAACGTATCGAAAACATCAACGTGAGAGGCACCGAGAACGTCATCCAAGCTTGCAGGGAAATGGGAGTCCCAAAGCTCGTTTACACGAGCACGTACAATGTAGTCTTTGGGGGTCAGGTAATAGAAAATGGGGATGAGTCTTTGCCTTATCTACCTCTCCATCTGCACCCCGACCATTATTCAAGGACCAAAGCCTTAGCAGAGATGAAGGTTCTGAAGGCCAACGGGATGGTGCTCGGGAAGGGTCAGGGGGTCCTGAGAACCTGTGCCTTGAGACCTGCTGGCATCTATGGCCCAGGGGAACTGAGACATCTTCCAAGGATTATCACCTATATAGAACGGGGATGGTTTCGGTTTCTGTATGGGGAGGGCAGCAGTCGAGTAGACTTTGTCCATGTGGACAACCTGGTGCAAGCTCACCTTTTAGCTGCAGAGGCTTTGGGAACGAGTAAGGAGCATAAGGCTGCGGGCCAGGCTTACTTCATCTCTGACGGAAGACCGGTCAACAACTTTGAGTTTTTCCGCCCTCTGGTGGAAGGCTTAGGCTATCCGTTCCCGACGCTCCGGCTCCCTCTGAAGCTGATTTACTGCTTTGCGTTCCTCACCGAAGTGGTTCATTTCATGGTGGGGCGGTTGTATAACTTCCAGCCTCTCCTCACTCGGACGGAGGTTTACAAAACAGGGGTGACTCATTATTTCAGCTTGGAGAAGGCCAGGAGGGAGCTGGGGTATGAACCCCAGCAGTACCGCTTCGAAGAAGTGGTTGAGTGGTTTAAAGCCCGTGGCCACGGACGGAAGCGTGGAACGTATGCGGTGAAACACTTTTTGAGGGATGCGCTGCTGGTCCTTCTGTTCGCTGTGGTGGTCCTGTCGTGGTTTCCCAGAATAGTAAAAGCAGCTGACCTGAACCCTGGAGGCTAAGAACCCAGGCTTCCATGGACCAAAGTAAGACTTATATCAAGAGTTAATCTTCCTTTGTGTCTTCTGACAGAGGATGCCAATTAGTACTTAAGATGCACTGAAAAAAAATAAAAAAACCCAAAGCTGAAACTAACTTTTCATAAGCTAAGCAGTGGCCTATTTTGTTTTGTTCTGTTTTGCTGCTTTTGTTCTTTAGACTTAAATTGCTGTTATCTCAGCACTATCTCAAAAGCCTGAAGGACCAGCAGGAGAGTCATTAATGGGGTCATTAATGACTAGTCAATAGTTAATAGCAAAAGGGTGAAAGTTGGTGTTTTTGAGTTACAGCTCTTGGGATTTCTCAGGAAATTATTTTGTCCAGTCCATTACTGACACCAGAAATTGATCTAGAGCTGAAACAGCTTCCTTGGATTGAGATGAAAAGCAGAGATAGGGTTTGGGTGTCATCCCCCCCCCCATACTCTGAACATCCCAGTGGTTTCATGTAGATGTTAAATAGCCAGGGGTCAAAGCAGAAACCAGAGGAATCCCACAGGCCAATGGCCAGGGTATCAAACGGGAGTCCCTCCAAAGAACCTTCTGAGTTCTTCCCTCCAGGAAGGACTGGAGCCACCGTAGATCATTCCTTCCAGGTGCCATCCTAGCAAGATGGTACTGAAAAGTGCTGAGATGTCCAGCGGAACCAGCAGGGACACATTTGCTGATCCAGTTCCTGGTACACATCATCCATCAGGACACAGTAGTCCCAAAACACAAATTTACACCCTCTAGAATAACAAAGATTGAAATCCTCTTCACACGCTTTTGCACCTTGCAGAGGGGCATTGATGGGGCTCGTGCAAAATACTTTCTTCTTGTGCAAGTGTGGAACCTAATGTGCTGGAAAGGGGCGTGATTTCTACTTTGGGAAGCTTGGAGAATTTACTTTTTTGGACTGTGGATCCCAGGCCCCATAGATGGGAATAGTGTGAAAAGCAACTTCTCCAAGCTTTACACGCCAAAAGGTGATGGAATTGAGCCCATCAACAGGGTAAGTTCTGGATCTAGGTCTTTGCTTAAGACCTAGATCCATACTGGGCCTCATCCTTCAAATATTTACATGCCAGGCCTTCAGCTCCCTAGCTGAAGGCCTGTCCCAACTAGATAGGTCTACTGAATCAGTGGGACACATTATGGAGGACTTGCCTTGCCAGATGTCCACAGATTCAATGGGTCTACTCTAGTACGCTAAATCTGTCATGTTTTGTTTCTGGGCCACTTCAAAACAGCATAAGATCAAATAGGTACTGGAGATGCGTGTATTTGGGAAGATGAACCCCCTCAAGGTTTACGGCTTCGTTGATGTTGTTTAATTATGAAAGCACCTGGTCTCTGCTGAAAGCCTATGAGGCGAAAATAGGAATCGCTCTTTCGACAACTTCGCGGCTTCAAAGCGTTCTTCCTGGCATCGTTCTTGCGAATGCTTCTGCTTTCATGCTTATTTCATGCTCCCTCGCTTGCAATGTTCTTTCTAAAAGCCGAAAAATAAAGTCAAGCTTTCTCCTCCACTGTGTAAGCCGAAAGGGACTGTGGTGAAAACATTTTGATGAAAGATTATGGAACGGCGTTTACCTGGGCGGCTTTTCCAAAGCTCCAGCGTCTGCTGTGATATAATACAGAGAGGAAATGGCTAACAGCCTTAAAATTTATAATGTGAAGAACCGCAATTTTATGTTCATAGCGAGCCTCCGTACGGATATGTTAAAATCCATACTTAGAGGCACTTAAATAGCCTCTGTATTTCACGGTTTGCAGCTGTTGGGGAAAGTCTGTTGTTTTCCTAATCACTCGACTTGGTTACTCAAGGCTTCCTAAAGAGTGAAAGAGTTTGGGGCTGGTTGGCTGGGGATGGTAGTCTCCTACGGCGAGTCGAGCACAACCCCACCTCAGTTTACATCCAGCTATCAGCTTAACTCCTTACTGGAGTCCGAAGGCCTGTGTATGTGTGTTTATGCCTTCTGAGTGTGTGTGTGTGTGTGTGTGAGAGAGAGAGAGAGAGAGAGAGAGAGTTTGATTTTTGAGATCAAAACTGCTTGAATGTTGACAAGGGATTTTGAGAAGGGTGAGGGGGAAAAAAGTAAAATTTCTTCTCTTATTAATTGACATAAAATATTTATACCTCGCCTTCAGGTATCACTGTTTAAAATATTTGTATCTCTGGAGGACTTAAGGCAGCTTATGCTATTAAAACCAACAATGTTAAAAACTTGAATAAAAACAAAACGCTTTTAAGAACTCACCTCTTAGGAAGCCAGTTACTAAGAAAAAAAGCCTGCCTGAAGAGAAAGGTTTTTACCTGCTTGTGGAAGGAGAGCAAAGATGGGTCTAGTCTGGCCTCCAGTGGGAGGGAGTTCCAGAGTCTGGGAGCAGCCACCGGGAAGGCCCTCTCTCCCATGTCCCCACCAGACACTCCTGTGAGGGTGGTGGGAGCGAGAGGAAAACCTCTCCTGGTGATTTTAAATGCCACACACTCACACACATAATTCCCAAGGTCTAGTCAAGAGTATTGTATCCACGGGGATTTTTTTTTCTGTGACACAGCAAAGTTGCATAATGGTATATAAGGACAATTGGCATACATGGTGTATGTCTCTACCTCACATTGCATCATCTGTCTGTGACCCTTAAAAATGCAAAAATGTAAGAAGAACAGAAACACCCAGAGCCTGGGGTGTGAGCATTCTCATCTACCTTCATGAAACCCACCACGATGAAGAAGGAGACCAGAAAGATGCATTGGTTGAGGGACCCTTTGGACTTGGGAACTGACTCTTAGGCTTGGCTGACATCTACTTTCCAAGTTTCCTTCCTTAGGAGCCTTGTGGCGCAGTGGTTCGACTGCAGCACTACAGTCAATCCTCTGCTCACAGTCTGCATTCAACGCCAATGGGCAAGTTCCTTAGGAGCCTTGTGGCGCAGTGGTTCAGGCCCCTGCTCACAGTCTGCATTCAGCGCCAACTGGCTCAAAGTTGACTCAGCCTTCCATCCTTCTGAGGTTGGCAAATTGATACCCACCATGTGGGGTGTGTGTGTGTGTGTGTGTGTGTGTGTGTGATAAGTGTTTTGCCTCTATAATTAAAGAGTGCTTTAAGCACTATGGGATGGTATATGAGCAGAACACATTGCCTTGCTTTGGGCCCATGAAAGAAACCAAGGAGACCCTTCTTACTTGGTCTCTGCCTTCATACTTGTCAGTAAGCTCTCAGTCCTCACCAGCCCTTGATTCTCTAGGATCAGCAGTCCCCAACCTTTTTAGCCCCACAGACTGGCTGGGGAAGGCAGGGCACCCACATGCACATGCATAAAGGAGAGTGAGCGCTCTTGTGCGGGTGCATGTGAGCTCATGTGCATGCTCAAAAGGGTGGTGCGGTGGTCGTGCGCATGTGCAAATGGCAGCACAGCACTTGTGCGGACGCTTGCATGCTTATGCGCAGGCGCAAATGGACTGTGCAAGGAGGAGTGCATGCAGGGGTGAGGGGGAGGTCTCTCTCTGCGGCCCAGTTCAGCTCAGGCTACAGACCAGCACCAGGCCGCGGACCGGGGGTTGGGGACCTCTGCTCTAGGTAGAGTATTAGACTAGGACTCAAAGAGGCAAAGGTTCAAATCCCTGGGACCGGGGGTTGGGGACCTCTGCTGTAGGAGTAGTAGGTAGAGTATTAGACTAGGACTCAAGAGGCAAAGGTTCAAATCCCTACTTGCCCATAAAAGTTCACTAGCAGCGGTAAAGCACTCTTTGGGCTTCTCATGTACTTCCAAAACCCCTACTAGAGTTTGCCATAAGTGGGGACTGACTTTACAGCACATAAAACAACTACGTAAATATTCAATACCAATGCAGCAGTATGTACCGTGTTTCCCTGAAAATAAGACAGGGTCTTATATTAATTTTTGCTCCCATTAGGTGTTATTTTGAGGGGATGCTTTATTTTTTTCATATACGATCTACGTTTATTCAAATACAGTCATGTCATCTTCTTCTGGTTGCTGCACAAGGGTAGAGGGCGGGGTTTCACTTAACTAGGGCTTATTTTTGGTGTAGGGCTTATATTAGGAGCATCCTGAAAAATCCTACTAGGGCTTATTTTCAGGTTAGGTCTCATTTTCTGGGAAACAGGGTAATTATGTGTGATCAATTGTTCTGTATTCCTTGAGTACTAAAAAACAAAGGTGTTTTTCAAAAAGTGTCATATCTTTCTAAATTTAAACTAGGAAAAAAGTGCTATAAGGAGCATGGTGTGTGTGTCACTTTTTTTGAGTGAGGGGTAGGTGGGAACAAGGCGAAACTTTTTTGTCGGTGAAGCCGAAGCCAATGATCTTTTAGCTTTATCGTATTTTTCGTGTGCGATCCGGTGTAGTTAATGTCGGTAATTATTTGATCTCCAGCAGTCTGTCAGAATGTTTCCGAATTTTTGCGTGCTGTTTTGTGCTAAATATAAACGATCCGGCTCACAGTTGAAAAGATCTCTTTAAATGAAAGAAGAGGGAGGGAAGCGATTAAAGTTGATGCACAGCTGCAAGACAAATTTGAGAGGACTGGGAAATTTCTGGCATTTGAAGTATAGTCTTTCTTTCTCACACACACACCGCCTCCCCGAACACCTTGAGAGCCACGAAGAGCTAGCTTTGATATTTTTAAACCTTAAATAAGGAAACGGATTCAACTAGAATTGGAGGCAGCTGTTTAATCAGTCACAGAATTAGCAAAGCCAACCGAGAGCAAATTCCTTGGTGCCCTTAATACACCGTTTTCAGGCGTGCATGCTCAAATTATTTTAAAAGAGTTGAACGCATTTCCTTCTTGAACAATATTGGCAAAGAGACTGAGATATTTTTGTTGGTTGGTTTGTTTACATTCTTGAAAGGAACTTGCCTCTCCCCCAAACCATTCCTCCAGAGAAGTGGAGAGACATGTAAGCTCACCTCTTTAGGACTTCATCATCAATTGCATGAAGCCTTACTGGTTGATGTGAGTAAGCCCTCAGTCACCATGGATAAAAGGTTCCACATCATACAGAAGGAATCAGAGACTGTTTAAACTGGACCTGTTTTATATGCCATCTGCAATTTCCACATCTTCTCTTTCACTTTTGATTA